GTCTCTTCTGACAATGTTTTATTTGTTCTGAAGACTGAAGCATGTAATAGATAATGTGATGAAGAGCAGACAAGGGACATATAGGCTCTGAAGCAAGAACAAGTTTTGACATATGAGACCAACACGGGAGGCACCGCCGTGCCTAGGGCACAATGGGTCAGAGAAAAAGTGGTCCTAGATGAGGCAGGAGAAGCAGGCAAGGACTGGGTCACATCGGGCCTTGCTGACTGTGACCAGAAGCAAGAATTTCATTCTAAGAAGAGTTGGGAGCCAAAGGTAGGTTACAAAATCAGAGGAGGAATGTTTTTTACTTAAAAAGTCAAGTCAAATTGTGAAGAAATCAACCAGGGAAATTAGTTAAGAGATCATCTTAGTTCAAGTTATGTGAGAAATAATTAAGATAGGCATGGGATACCCTACAGGAAGTTAGGGCAGAGGTCAGGAGAAGGTCAACAGAACAAGACAGTCCTAAGAATGTGACTACGCTTAACTAAGATAAATGTAACCAATGGAGACCCTTCAGTTATTTTACTTTAGCCATAACATCTTTATCCAAGGTAAAAAGGGGAATTTCTTTAATTGGGGCATGCGCACAGGTGACAGTGTGCATGAGGTGACAGATACCCTAAATGAACTAACCTCATTAACATAGTAAAAATCATACCCACCTTTACCATGGCAGTTGACAAATGCCACGGCAACTCCTGGAAGTTATCCTGTACTTCCAGGTTAAGAAAGAGGAGGATTCCTGGTTTCAGGAATTCACTCTTTTCCCAGAAAACCTGTGAATATTCTGGCCCCAGTTTAGCATAGTATTAGGCATTAGCATAAAAAGACAGACCCTAACCCTGGCGTGGCATTGTTCCTTCTTGGATCAGTCCATTCTTTTGCCTTTTCTTAAGAGTGTGCTTTGTTTTCAATGTACCTCTCTGCTTTTGCTCATACCTTGTGTCTAAACTCTTTTCTCTCACTTATGCTTCTGTGCTTGAATTCCCGTCCTGTGTGGAGGGGAAGAACCCTCTCTGCCCTGCCAGTATCACACTGGGCAGTGGTCTGCACTGCCAATATCACACTGCTGATTTGAACAAGGCAGTGGGACTGGGGATAGAAGCCTGTGGTGCCATACAAGCCCAGAGAGGAGAGAGCTTCACAAATGTCCAAAATGCGTTAATTGTTTCAAATGCTGCAGAGCTCAAATAAAAGGAGAGCAGTTGTCATTGGATTTGGCAACCTGGAAGTTGTTAGTGACAGAAGATAGATTGCAGGTCATTGAAGAACTAATGGGGATTTCTCATCAGGAATACTAGAGTCTGCCCTCATTTCTTCTGCTTCCTTACAAAATCCCATGAAAATGATGGTAAAGATGTAGAAAAAAATATATAAATCCATAGGGAGAAAGAGCAGAAGAGGTTTGAAGCTTGGAAAGCAAGTCAGTTAGTAGTGAGTCAATCCAAAGCTAACAGTGGAGGAAGTAAGAGCAGTAATCCCTTTTGTACCACAAGACCACAGAAAGGATCAGGAACTGGTGGTGCCAGGTGCCTCTGGAAGTGAAGGAGAAAGTGGGGTTAGGGGAGGAGGACTAGCTGACAGTCCATTTACTAGTTAGACCACTCAATCCTCTCCCATACCTAAGCAGAAGCCTAGAGATTCAGTCACTGGGGAGGGTAAAACAGAGGGTGGTCTCTAGAACAGTGGCCACCAGCACAGTCGAGGACAGGAGTTGAATATTGAAAATGCATCCTCAGCCCTCATCTTCCAATGGCAGTCAGGCTTACACCCTCCAGGCAGGTGACTGGAAGATTCTTCTCTGGGGATCTAAACTGTCGCTTTGTTTCCCAGCACGATGGCTCCATAAGATCACCCTACAGAAACCACCACAGTCAACATGCCCTCCCCATGCTACAGAGCTTTCTAATAAGTATGGAATGCTCCTCTGTTAGAGATAGACAAATAATTAGGGATCACTAGGTATTTGAGGAAAGCATCTATTATGAAATTCAGAGAGGAAAACCAATAGTAAAAAAAAAACTGCTTGGGGAAACGACCTATAGATTCACGGTTGATAGCAGCACAAAGGGGTAGAGCATAATATATCCACATGACATGGCTTCAAATAAACTGGGGCATTTTTGAAGAAGGGATATGCCTATTCCAAATCCTAGCCTTGAAGCCCAAGAGGAATGATAGACAACAAAATAAAAAGCAATAGTCCTCACTGGAATAGGAAGAGGTATCTTTAGGGAATATCCAGTTTCAGTTAAGGCAAGACAATAAATAGGACTTCTAGAGACAAGGTTGTTGATGTAAGAGAGTTTTCCTATCAAAGAATAGACGTTTGCAGAGTAGAAGGTGATCAGAGGGTGGGTGACTGATCAATTTAGGGTTATACAAAATATGTAGAATGTGCCAGGGAACCATAACGACAACAATGGATGACAGGGAAGCATTGACTTCTGGTGATGCCTGAAGTAGTAAGAGAGGTGAAGCATGTTGGAAGTCACCATGGTAGTCACAAAGAACCCTAGGCATTGATTCAACAGGTAGTCTTTCTACTCAAAATGTGGTACCAGGGGCAGCAGCCTTGGCAATACCTCAGAGTTGTTAGAAATATAGACTCACAAGCTCTACCCTAGGCTTAGTGAATAAGGATCTGGATTTTAATAAAATCCTCAGGTGTGTACAAGGTTTCAGAAGCATTAATTATGTATCTCTAAAATACGGGGTCTCTGTTTTCGCCTCTAGTTTCTGTCAATGGACTCAGCAGAAGCTGAAGATATTGACTCCATCATGGGGCTATTTCTCTCCAAAACATCATTATGAGGCCTCATTGATAACCACATTACTAAACTGTAACCTTCTTGAAGACAAGAACTATTTTGTGTATTATTAGCCATTGGTACCTAATAGAATTCTTAACACGCACAAATAATTCCTAGATGTTGAAGACTAGGAAGCAAGAGTGACTATGTGTGTAGAAGGAATCTCTTCCCCAGTGCAGTTGAGCTGATGGTTGATGATTTGGGAAAGGTAGTTAAAACAGAAACACATACTATATGTGTGTGTGTGTATATATATATATATATATATATATATATATATCTGTACTTTAAAACATATACATACCTACACACATACTCCTACATTTGTATGTATGTTAATTCCTTCACAAATATTCTGTTGTAAGTCTAAGGCCTTTTATATGAGTGTGAACTGTTTTCTGAGAGTTCTGCAATATTTGTCCTGCACAAACCACTCTGAAAATGCGTTGTCTTCTTAAGATATTTTTGCCGTCTTTAAAGTGAATTGTAAAGCAATTTGAGTGCAGAATCTTCCTAGATTTTTCTTTTCCATATCTTTTACAATTCTCATGTACATATAACAGCATTTTTAAATGACTCAACTTTTTTCTTGCTTTTTCTAAGAATTCAACCTCATTTTCCCAGTGCAAAAAGCTCCCTGCCTTTTCCCACTTATATTTTGCTAGTATACATAGTATTTAAAGTGTCTTTTGATAATGAGGCCATTCTCTAGTAATATAGGGACATAAAAATCCTTCACCATTGGTTATGGTAATAGGTAATTTTAGTGTATTGCTTATTTTCTCCTGTAGTTAATTATGTGGTCACGTCTCAGCTTTCTGTGAGCCTGCCCATCAGGTTGACCCTAGCAGGTTTGGCAGTGCAGTTTACCAACCCAGAGTTCTTAGGACCTGGTCCTCTGGAATGATGGCAACATGCCAGGTCTTCTGTAGCAACTAGACCATTTGCCATGGCAGCTTCAAATTGAGCAAGAGTTCCACAATTTCACACTTGGGTGCGTTCAACTCTCTCAGGTGGATGGCAGCCAGGCTCCATAAATAAATCCCTATTAGCATTGTTCCAAAACTCAGACTTTTAAAAAGCACTAGCCATTTCAAACGGCCAGTCCTTAATAAAATGATTTGTATGACACCTGAGCAACAGCCTGAGGCTCCCAAATCAGGTAAGAAGGACTTTTCTTGTGAATGCATTTAACTGAGCCATAACAATAGCCACTGAAACGAAAAGGATTTCAGCTGGATCATGACAAGACAAAACAGGACTGATAAACGGAGGGCACTTGGGTTGGTTTGTTTTTATTAAACATGCTTAAACATTTATTAAACATGCTTAAGTTCATTTATAAAATATCTTTGAGAAATTGTTTTGCTTTGTTTTTAGAGATTTAACAAGCTCTAAGAACAGTATTTGCTCATGGGTATCATGTCTAGAATAACAAATTGAGAAATAGAAATTGCATGTGTTAAGTGGGCACAGTGTATATTTAATAATACATATTAGTGTCAGCTATAGTAATAAATATCTTTACTTATTAAAGAAATAAATACGAACAGTAAGCTGTCATCTGCATCATAAACTATAACATCATACTGGCACTATTTCAAAATTATTTGTCTTTCTTTCTGCCCCATGAGATATAGCTCAAAGGCAATGACAAGTCTTCCTCTGCCTACCATAACTTTTAATACAAAATTAGACACATTATACATGTTAGTTGAATTGAAATAAAAATTGGCATTGTAATCAATTAGAGAATGCAGGATTTGTAATGCAAGTTCAAAGTTACAAACAATAAGGAGATGGAGCTAATAATCAAGAAATGTTTTCTTTTGTAAAATTGAGGCTCTTTCAGGTTTAAAATATGAAGCCAGTCGTATTTTACTTCCGGAATAATAAACGTAAAATGACCAGAAAGAAAAAAGTGTTAAATATCCTAAGTGATTATCAAATTTTTAAAAAATCATTCTATCAGATATTGAAGAAACATTACCAGAAATTGGTACAAAATTGTCTAAATATCTAACATAAAATTTTCACCATTCCCAATATTTTGTGCCTTAAGAAATATCTGATGGCTCTACAAAACAATAGGTGCTTAGAAATTCACTATACAAAATTCATGTTTCCCCCACCTATTATCAATTATAAATTTTACCCAAAAGAGAAAACTTAATCAAATGATTACAATAGTGTTGAGGATTTTTTTATTGTGTTTTCTACATAGATTAAAATAAGGCCTTTTTTGATGAAAAAAATCCATTACAAAGACAAGAATCTATTACAATTATAATTGAATCAGTAACAAAATTTAGCTTTAAATGAGTCAAGTATTCTGTTTTTGAAATTCAATATCACAAACATTCAAGATTAGTGAAATTTGGTAAGAAAAAAAGACCAGCAGAAAGGAAAAGGATGCCTTTTCAACAGAGAGTGATTTATAAAGTTTTTGTTTTTAAAGTGCTTTGGGAAAACACAGTATAGTTACTTACAAAAGTCATTTAAGAAAGACTTAAGTGCTTCAAGTGGAGTGGGCTTCAGACTAAAAAATATTTTAAAATTTGCCAAGAAATTTAAGCGTTAAAAATATTCCTCTCCTTATTCAATTTCAAGTTTAAGGAAACATTTGACAGACAAGTAAACAAAAGGCAAAAAAAGTTTATCTGCATTTTAAAATAATAAATTCTAGATCTATAAAAACTTCTTGGTTTGTACATAAAGGCCAATACTTGGCCTTCATTGATCCATTTCTATGTAGTTAAAAAAAATACAGTATCAAATCTTTCTTCCTTCCCCCAAAAAACTAGGAGAAATATTTTAAATTGTGAGTGTAAATGTAGTTATGCAATCCTTAAGTTTACAAAACACACAAACATCACTATACGTGGAAAATTATTTTCATCATATTGTAAACATCTCTTCTTCTATATCTGGACATTTGAAAATAGTCTTTGGTATTACTAGTTATTGTGCTTTGAAACAGAAACTTACAGGATTTCTGTAGCAGTACTACATAGACATTTTAAGACATAAATAAGAAAAATGCACTTGGAATAAGTTACAATTAGCTGCTTTTGCATAATTTTCAAAAACTACAGTGTATGCCTAGTCACAGTTTTATGAGAAAGAATATCTCCTTTTTCAACTCCTTAATTTTAAGGAACACTTAATCATTTTGGCTAAATATCCATTTTTGGAGTGGATCTGATGGATTGCATGACATTAAGTTCGGATGCTCTCCATTTGCTGAAAGGCACATTTTAAAGAATGGATTATATAGAAGTTGATCCTAAAATAAAAGGAAACACAACAGACATTAAGTTTCAAGACTCATAATTAACTGATAAATATTTAAACAACTTTATGGTCTCATTGAAGCTAAAGGGAGACTTACAAACTAAATGTACACCATTCTTAACTTTAAATCTTTGTAAGATCAACTATATCTGACAAAATCCTGCTGGCTTCTGCCGTAAACACCACCATTGATGCTACTACTGTTCAATTAACAAGGTATTACATAAATGAAGAGAGGTATACAGAGCAAGGTCTGAATCAAGTTTTCACACAAGAAGCATCCCATTGATATTTCCACAGGTGACAAACTCTTTAAAAATCATAAATAATAAAAGCCATGTTATGGTTTTCACAAAAACCATTACTGCACAAAACAATTGTCAGGTAAGAACCATTACGATCCAGCTAAGCCTTAAACGTGTTTAGAAACAGAAGAGACTTGCCATGTATTTTCTCAATTTTAGATTTGTTAAAAAGTATTAAATCAGGGTAGGAAAAAATTAATTCCTTTAAGGGAGAAAAATAATATTTTTCCTCTTTGTCAGGAAAAAGAAAATGTGACTGTCACGTGAAGCATTATAAGAAACCTTAAAAAGTCAAAAATAAGCAACTATTATTAATAATTCACAGAAGTGTTGATCTACATAAACCATGCTTCAGTCAAGCAACTTTATGATTTTTTTCCCTAAATGTACTTAATTCATAGATACACTCACTTATCACATGGGTAGAAACACATAACAAAATTAATAAAGGCAGAGAAATTCTGATGGATAATATCAATGTGCCACGTTCCACTCATTTCCCCAGATAAGCAATTTGAACTAAGCAAAGTACTGAAATTACAGGGAAGTACCTTCCGGATCTCCCATATCTGTTCTATAGTGACAACTGTCTTGTGACCTTTGTAGGAACAGGCCTTCAGCTGAACGGGACCTTCAGCTGCATGAAGACATAATTCCTTCTGGATGTTGTGCCGAATTTCATGATGAGCAGAGTATTCAAAGTACTATGAGAGGAAGAGTGCTGTTATTGACAAAAGAACTCTATATGCTCAGTTGTAAAATAAAATACATTTAAAAATCAGCAACTCACTGAATAATGAAGTCATTTCTACCTCAACAAAATGATACAATAAAAAGCTACTGGAAACAATAAGTTGAATTTGTATGACACAAGATACTATAGCCTTTCTTCTTCAGCCTGTCATCAACAGGTAGTTACTTAATTAGGAAGGTATTGTCTTCCTCCCCATATCAGAAATTGAGAGATACCAGGGAAGATGGAGGCTAGCACAGGCACTTCACAAAAAGGGCCTGAGAAGTTCGAGGAAGCTCATTTACTGCCACTCCCTCTTTCCCACAAGTGCTCTTTCTCTCATCTTCATTTTAGTTAACATCATTTTCATTAAACTAGGAACTTCAGGGTGTTCTCCGTGCCTCAGTTTCCTCATCTGTAAAATGGGTAATTTAATAGCTCCTATCCCATGTAGTTATAAAGACAAATGGGTTAATATTCCTAAAACACTCAGAATAATAACTGGCAGGTGGTAAGCATTTGATACATATAAGCTATTATTGATGCTGTTCTCTACCCACTTAGCAATTAATTAGTCCTTATTTGTACTGCATTTTCCTCTCAGATGTTACCATCCCACTCATTCTTACTTCCCTAGCCTCACTTCTCTTACTCAGACCCTCAGAATTCCTACTGTGAAACCTCCAGCTACCTCCAGTTTCTGTTGCTTTATTCTAGCAATTCAATCTGCTGCCAGTTAGTCTTTTATAGCATTGGTTTGATCCCCGACTGCCCTTAAGTGAATCAGTACTGTTGCTAAGATAAAGTCCACACTCCTTAATTGGTACACAAAATCTTCTATTTTCAATCTTCCATCAACCACTGTCCCAGTTATATATTATTGTTCTTTTACACAATTCTACCAATGCAGAACATGTGGATCCACAACTCTGAGGCTTTGTTTTACTGTCTGTGCTCTGCCTGGAATACCCTTTTGAACGTTTTCTGCCTGGCTAACTCCTTTCCATCTTTCAAGAGCCAACTCAAATATTACCTTCCTTCTTTGGCTTTCCTTGAATTTGTCCTACTCCAAAAAATTACACCCTTTTCAAGGTTCCAGCAAAGCATCGGAGATAACTTTTATAGCACTCTATTAGAATTGTGTGTGTAGCTGGCTGGCTTCCCCATAGACCAAAGTCAGGCAGTGTATTTAGTAATAATGTCCATTGCAAATCAAATATTTCGTAATGTTGACATTTTAAAGATAAAATAAGTTAACATAATTGATTTTCAATAATGAAATAATTAGTAGTAGTACTAATATTTATTAAGTTTTTATTATGTGCTAGGCAGGTACTGTGTTAAACCCTTTATATATATTAGAGTAGGCACTCCACAAATATTAGCTGAATTAACAGAGCCACATATCCGGAGTTCCTCTAGTCTTAGTCTCATGCTTAATTTATTTCCTCCCACAAATAAAACATCAGTCATTTTTACAACTGGTAGTTCTTTAGATGGAAACACTGGAGGAAAATGTAGGGAAAACACTGGAGGGTTTAGATGATGAAAACAGCCTTCCTGCTCTACATATCTAAGAAAGGCAAACCTTAAGATCTCAAAGATGGTAACAAATGTTATCTGGCATTTTAAATTACTATTAAAAAGCCATTAAAATTAAAATTATAAAAATGGAAGATAACTGAAAATACTTTGGTAGCCAAAACATTTTATTTTTTTATTTTTTTTAATTTCAAAATATTATGGGGGTACAAACATTTTGGTTACATATAATGCCTTTGCCTCCTCCAAGCCAGGTCGACAAGCATGCCCTTCCCTCATACAGTGCACTTAGCATCCATTAGTTGTGAGTTTACCCATCCCCATCACACCCCTCCCACCTGACCAGCACCCGGTGAATATTACTACCACGTGAGCACCTTAGTGTTGATCAGTTAGTACCACTTTGATGGCCGAGTACATGTGGTGCTTGTTTTTCCATTCTTGTGATACCTCACTTTGAAGGATGGCCTCAGCTGTAACCAGGATAACATAAGAGGTGCTAGATCACCATTGTTTTTTCTAGTTGAGTAGTACTCCATGGTATACATACACCACATTTTATTAATCTACTCATGTGTTGATGGGCACTTGGGTTGTTTCCGCATCTTTGCAATTGTGAATTGTGCCACTACAAAGATTCGTGCACAGATGTCTTTATTATAGAATGTCTTTTCTTCCTTTAGGTAGATGCCTTAGTAGTGAGATTGCTGGATCAAATGATATTTCTATTTTTAGCTCTTTGAGGTATCTCCAAATTACCTTCTACAGGGGTTATACTAATTTGCAGCACCACCAGCAGTGTAAGAGTGTTCCAATCTCTCCACATCCATGTGAGCATTTATTATTTTGGGACTTTTTGATAAAGGCCATTCTCACTGGAGTTGGGTGATATCTCATTGTGGTTTTGATTTGCATTTCCATAATGATTATAGATGTTGAGCACTTTTTTATACGTTTGCTGGCCATTATTCTGTCTTTTTTTGAAATGTTTCTGTTCATGTCCTTTGCCCATTTATTAATGGGGTTGATTTTTTTTCTTGTTAATTTTCTTAAGTTCTATATAGATTTTTGTTATCAGCTCTTTCTTGGATGCATAGAATGCAAATATTTTCTCCCATTCTGTAGGTGTCTATTCGCTCTAATGATAGTGTCCTTGGCTATGCAGAAGCTTTTTAATTTGATCAGGTCCTATTTATTTATTTTTATTGTTGCTGTGATTGCTTTGGGGGTCTTCTTCCTAAATTCTTTGCTTAGGCCAACAGCTATAAACATTTTCCCAATATTTTCTCCTAGAATTCTTAAGGTTTCATGCCTTAGGTTTAAGTCTGTAATCCATCATGAGTTGATTTTTGTGAGAGGTGAGAGGTGGGGATACAGTTTCAATCTTCTATATGTGGTTATCCAGTTTTCCCAGCACCATTTATTGAATAGAGATTCTTTTTTCCCAATGTATATTTTTGTCAGTAGCAAAAAAATTTTTAAAGGTATATAATTAGATAGCTGAGATTATTGGCAATACTTAGAACTGGGACAAACACCCTGGACAGAAAGTGGATGAAGCAAAGCATTAAGTGTCAGAAAGTCACAATGGCTTAAACCGCATTGCACCATTATGTTGGCCAGTTTAGTCACATAACCAAAATACTTATTTTATCTTTGTATACACAAATACTGTTACAGTGGAGTAAAACACTATAAAAACACTATCTGATCAAAGCAGTAGAGGAAACATGAAAAAAATCTTCAAGTTATATGATATCTCAAAATTTTCACGGTCAAGAAATTAAAATTTGCAAAGTAGTTTAAATGCAATGCTTGAGGGAAAATAAAATGTAAAAGAAATAAGCCAAAATAAAATCAATAGCTGTGTTAAGGTAACAGAAGCCAGGATCATCATCTTAAAATATAAACCAGGCAATATTATTCTCCTGTTCAAAACCCTGCAATGGCTCTGTCAGACTCAGAATTAATGGGGTTAGGTCCCTATCATGATCAGGTCCCTATCAACACCTCTGGCCTCATTTCCCACCCCTCTTTGCTGGATGGCTCTGCTCCAGCCACACTTTCTGCTTCCTCCATGTCCCTGCCAATGGACCACCAACCTGCCAATCCTTCCTCCCAGATACTCATCTTCTCCTGGAATGTGGTGCCTCTCCCAGCTCACTCAGGCCTCCACTCTAAGGTCACTTTCCCAGAAAGTTCTTCCCTAACCTCTGAAAATAACCACCTCACCCCGAACACATTATACCCCTACCTGCTTTATTTTTCATCTCTATATATTTATTTTTTATTTTCCTGTGGAAAAGAAAATGTTCCTGTGGAACATTTTCTCATCTTTTTCATCTTTTTCTCATCTCATCTTTTTCACTACTGTAACAGTGTAAGCTACATTTTATGTTCTTAAGCAAATATTTGTTGAAAGAATATGTGAATTTTTTCTCCATCCCCAAATTTCTAAAAGACAGCTATATTCTATTTAGAATTTTAAAATATTTTTTGATACAGTAATATAAAAACATCTTTATGGCAATGGTAACAGAAAAAAAGAAAAAAATAATGTATTTAGCTAAAAACATGTCTTCAGCTTTTAAAATAAAGGTAATGCCAGAGGAAACCTGAGAGAAATTTATAAGTAGATATATTTAGTAATAAGATTTTTACAAATGAAATATTTCCCTTTGCTCAAAACCTTAATTTTCATTAGCATAGTTGAGTATTATTTCCAAAAGAATGAAATTATTTATATATCTATTTTTCTTCTATATGTGGAAAGACATTTTTTAAAAAGATACGTATATATGCATACACATATATACACAGATATATGTATATAGGTATAAGTATACATGCATGTGTGTCTATATGTGTCCATATGTATCTCATACATATATCTCCATCCCATATCAGAATTACACCTTGACCATCCCACAGATCCAGCTCATCAGCTCTGGCTTCTGGGCATCCTCCTCACCTACCCTCAGTAGATTGTTGGTTTAGGTGAATAAGGATTAGAACTAGATTGAGCTGAGCCTAATGAGTAAGAAATACAGAACAAGATGGACCAGGAGATAAACTGACACTTTCTTCTGAAAACTGATACCATGAGAGTCCCATCCTTTAAAAATAGGATATCATGAGTATTTAGTATTGTATACTCTAACTACACCAAATACCTGCAGTTCGTTCCTAGTAAAGACTCATACTAGGCTCCTCCCCTTAGTACACCTTTCTTCACACTCTTCTCATTCTGTTCCCATTCCCATCAGCCACCTCACTAGCTTGGACCTACCTTTTTAAAAAATTAGTCTTCAAATGTCATCTTTCCCAGGAAAATGTATGGTCATTTAGTCTAATTCACATGCCCTTCCCATACCCCGCGAGCATTCAGAATGCTTTCTCCCAGACCTTATCATGCTGACTATAACTGATTTTGAAACATAAATTTCTTAAAGGAGTTGGAATCTAAATTGCTTGACCCCACCAGAGTACCTGCCATGCAGGGATCACTCAGTGAGTTTGATGCATGAACAAATGAGAGAAACAGAGTCTAATCCTTCCAAGAGTTAATTTATAAAAGATAAGGAAAATAGACTAAAACCAGAAAGTTAATATTTAATATGTTCCCTACCCATAGTAGGCTACATAGTACCATTTCACATTTGAGCCTTAATCACTAAAATAGTCAAAAAGTGGTAATAAACAGGGATGTCATCAATCAAGGAGAATCAAGAAGATGCTTTCTCTTGTTGGGGAGGGAGGGGACATATAGAAATAATATTAAGGCCCACAAAAATAACTCATTGTGCTTTTATTAACACTTGCTATCATTTGCAATCATATCCAGTTACATACGGCTTTCATATATAATCTTGCAAAAATCACCAGGCCAATAGTCACACAAATATCAACACATCAAAGACCTGCATAGAAGATCCTATTGTTAAAAATTTCAAATGGCATTATTCTATTAGTTTCTTGTTTTCCTTTCTATTGTATAGGGAGGCAACTTCAAACTGTTTTCAGAGCCAGAGTGAAAACCAAAATAAAGGACCCCACAACTATGGTCTCCAACCCGGGGCTACGGACCTGTACCTTTAGGGACAGTCCCGCAGGACTCCGACCCCTCTGCCGTTCCTCCCTCAACCCCTGGAAAAATTGTCTTTCATGAAACTTAGGAACCTAAGGAAGGAGATGCGCACAGCAAGAGGTGAGCGTGAGCAGTTGGGCCAGTGAAGCTTCATTTGCATCCCCTGTATTCACAGCTGCTCCCCATGGCTGGCATCACCGCCTGAGCTCTGCCTCCACCACCCCACCCCCACCCCTTATCCGTGGAAAAATCGTCTTCCATCAAACCCATCCCTAGCACCAAACAGGTTGGGGACTGCTGCTCTACAACATCAATATTAGTTGCCAAACTTAGTCTAAAAACATTTCTCACACCAGCTTACCCGAGTATAAAGCTGATTTTAGGACTTCTGAAAACTATGCAACATCTTATTTGTGTTTGTAAGTGCTTTACAATGGAAGGATTTCTAATGCAGAGCTCACCTGGTTTCCCCCAAGTCCATGACACGTATACAAAATCAATGGTTTGTCTCCTTGATTATTTTCTCCAACATCCAGGCATAGAGGCTGACCAATACTTTTAATCTGAAGAAAAATGTTCAAGTTATAAAACTTTAAAAATTTTCTATGTAGTTCACATATTTTTTCGAATAATTTCAGGAAGTAATGTTAATAATCATAACATAGTATCTCAAAAGCAACAAACCAGAAAGTATTTCAGCAATTTTCCCCCAACCACATAAATGTTGGTGGCAAGGACTGCATCAAGTAAAAAAAAGAACAGGAAAATACTCACATATCCAGATATAACAGGATTAAGGTCTGGCACATATACTTCTGGATAAATATTGTTCAGATACCACGTAAAATTTTTACATTGAAGGCGCTGTTTTATTTCAAATCTTTTTGAAAGATCTCCAAATGATTTCTGGGGAAAGATGAAAAGTGAAGAAAATGCTTAAAATAGCACTGATGAAATACTTCAAATGCTACTATTTGTATTTACATTTAGGTATCAAAAAACGCTGGGTCAAAATGCAAGATGCAATTTAATAGCATTCACCATTCATTCAGGGAACAAGTATGCCTGCCTGTTCATTTCAGGCCTTAAGGAGAATCCAGTCATTACTACAGTGATGATTAAATGAATAAAATGGTACCATTTTGTTCCTCACTGGTGCCACAAACTTCCCCTCCAAGACAAAGATCTCTAGAGGAATGCTGTGGGCAAAAGAATAACAGTGGAACATCCAAAATTGGTCCCAACTTTAAGCCTAAAAGTGGTCTGTAAAGTGTGGTGTGAGAAGCAGGTATAGGTAAACAATGCCAATACATAATGCAATTTGTATCTCTTCAAGACCACAAAAACCATCACCAAAAAACAATACAGTTGGGAATAATATTTTTCTAGTTCAAGGGTGTTGCTTATTCTTAACGATATCTCCAACTGGACCTTCAGTAGAAAAAGATAATATTTGAGTTAACTGCATTTTATTTTCCTTTAAGAGACTAAGAAAATAATTTTTTAAAAAAGCTCTATTAAACTGAAAATATATTTGGTCTAGAGGCAATACTTCAGAGAAAAATTATATTTGATACCTACATGTATGAAAAAGTAAATACTCAGGCTTATCAGTTTCAACTAGGGAAAATATTTCCTTATGCAAACTTCAATGCCTTGAACCTCGGTGATTTCACAAAAAAAAGAAAGAAAAAAAAAGTGACTCTTAAGGACTTCTGACTAAGCTTATACATATGACCAGGTAGAACTATGTGCCCTGTGGTAAAAAGAGATATTTGCTGGCTCACTTGCTCCTTTGTGGATGACAAGCAGAGCATAAGCTTCATTTAGCGCCCACTTGCCTGCTTACCCAAGTACTCTTGTGCAGTACACAGTCTGCCCAATTTGTCTTCTTTACCTTGGGTAAAAAGATAGAAATCTAACTCAGGAGTGCTCTGAGTTTGCATTCTAACAGGGAGATGCTGGAGACCAAAGAAAAGGTAGAAAGAGATAACTAGATCTTTCTTTATGACAGTCAAAATGTTGATGCCCTTAACTCTCAGTAAATACTCCCCATACCCCCCAAATTAGCACTGTTTTCTACAGAGATGAGTATATCAGTCACTGAAGCTGATTCTTACACTGTCTAGTTAATTTACCTCATCCAATATAAAGACTGTTGGAATTCAGTTCTAATTAGGTATTATGTGTGGTGATTCCACAGAACAGAACCTAATTGTAACAGGTTAATAAAAAAAAAGTGGCATTCATTTGTTAGCACTTAGTACTTCCTTATTTTACAGCTACTCTGGGAGAGAGGCAAGACGTACTTCATCTCTCAAGACAAGGAAGGAAAGAGAAGAAATATGTTGCAATCACCCTATGAAATGCCATCCACATTTTGTTTTCAATGGAGCTTTGCCAAGGTAGCACTTCTAATGAGTAGTGGATCTAGATCTTGAAAAAAAGCCTTGACACTCCTGGTTCATTCTCAAGACATTGTCTCTATCTCCAGTTCAAAAAGCCATTTAGACCTTTATTTAGGTGTTAACCACATATCCTGAAACCAGTAAAATGCAGTTCTACTTAATTTTATCTTCTTTGAGTAAAATATTAAACCTAGGCAGTTGTGACAACAAAATATCTTTCATGTTAAAAAGGATAACATCAAGTAAAATGTCCAAATTTTTCAAAAGCAGTTTACTTAATTTTTCTTAAGAAAAGAGAAAACTGGCATTCATACCTTATAGATTTTAAGAGTTAAATAAAAACTTAGTTTTAAAGATAAATTTTTCTAATGTTTTGCACTTGAGTTGATTCAAATAAGCAAAAGGACATGTGAACTTGATATAGATTTTTATTGTAATTTAATTATTTAGCTCTAACTTACTTGTTTAACAATTTTTGCTGCGTCTGTGTTTCTTCTGTAAAATATTTCCTTATATTCATCCATCCAGACTTCCGCAAGGCGAACTTGGTTGCGGGCAATCACCTGAGTGCCTTTTGGAAAGGAATGAGGGCTTTTGCTGCGAAAAACATGTCCAACAACAGAGCAAGGCATAATCTCCAACTGCCCACCACATTGCCATACCTGATAATTAATGATATTTGTTTAAATTTACAATATTTTAGGAAAAATCAAAGTGTTGTTTTTAAGTTCACCTTTAAGATATTAATAAAAACAAAATACAAAGATTCATTATAATTTCACAAATAATCTGACCCCTGATTTTGTTAAATGGTATAAACACTAAAGATAACAAAAGCACATTTTCAGAAAGTTAACAAATAGTGATTCCAGATCTTTCATAAAAATGAATTCCAAATTTTTTTTTAAACAAGCAATTTCCTTAATATGCACAGAAAACCAAAGGCTCATATGCTGACATCCATCTCAATATGGTCTTTTTTCTAAACCACAGGATTTTTCTTCTAAGCCATGAACTGGCAGCATGGGTGTAAGTGGACCCAGTCCCTATTTACTCTTTGCATATTTAATTTTGCAATCAAGAAAACAATTCCAGAAAGCCATTTTTACCAAAGTATGATCTATTACATTTATGAAGTAGTTGATCATCATAAAAAATTCATGCCTATTTAGAAAGTGTCAAGAAAATTTATTTGCATTAGTTCTGAAATAAGATGGAAAATCATGAAATCAATACCTTTTCATTTAAGTATCTTAAAATAATCATCAAGCAAAAAACTTGAAAAAAAAAAGTCATGTTTAATAGTACGTGCTAATATTAGGAAAAGTGATCATTTCCTCTTTTTCTCCTTTTCTTTTTTAAACAAATGAGAAAACTCTGTTCAGTTCAACAAACTGTTTGAGATCCAACATGTGCTAAGGGTTAGAAATTTTGAAATGAATAAAACAAGACCCCTGCCCATAAGAAATACAAACTTGGCTAAGATCATCACTGTATGTGATGAAGCCAGAGCCAAAACTTAAATCTTCTAACTCTTAGTTCAGTTCTTTTTTCCACTACATTTCGGCCTAAGAGATGAAAAATAAATGAAACTCATAAAATCAAATAAATAAGGAGTATGTGAAGACTATCCAAAGTCTTTATTTTGTTTTTCATATTAAATTTTAATATGTATAGGGAAAAAAAACAGCTCATTTAATCCAAATGGTTAAGTCCAATGTCCTTTAAAATTATACATAAATGTTTTTCCATTCTGTCTCCCTTGGTAATCAACTCATTTCCTGAAGCACTTGATTTAATTATATTTATCTTGGCTGGAATTCAGTGGCTACTAGTGCATTAATTGGTGTTATTGCCTGGACACTGATTCCTCTTGTAACATCGGCAACAATGAATAAATATATTGAATTACATTTTAAAAGGAAATATTCTTATTCCAAAATTTCTAGCAATTAAATTTTAGAAAGCACAAAAAGACTGCACACATCTGTAATAATCTGTGCCAGCCAATTAGAACACAATATAATTCATTGTTTAACATGTATGCTATATTTAATCTCCAAAAACTTACTCTGAAAGACATTTCTATATTTTCACCTCCCCAGATTTCCATTTCTTCATCGTAACTTCCAATATACTCAAAATATTTTTTCGATATAGAAAAAAGGCCTCCTGCAAAGGTGGGTGTTCTGAAAAATAATCCATTGTCAAACTTTATTATAAAAACTAAAGATAAGATAGCATATTTTAAGAATTGCAACAAATTCACATATTAAAGACATCACAATTTCAAAACTTTTGTATAGGTTAATAGAAACTAAAAATGGTATCTTCAAAGTCAAGTTGTTTTTTTTCGGGGGGGAGTACTTTGTGACCTCTCACAGCAGAGCAACATTAAATGTTCTCTCCTAGCCCTGCTTTAAGACTCTTAAGTAATGATTTATGAGAAAGACATAAGAGCTCACTTAATTCTACTTCTTAGTCAGCAACATCTTGTGCAAGTAAGTGCACAAATGTCTTTTCTATCCTATGTAGAACATGTGTGTTCTTCATTTTGTTAATATGAATTACCTCAGAGGCAACTACTATAAAAGCAAAAAGTGCATACATATTCAGTGTATAGTATATGGGGTAAATATAAGACTTGGAGAGAAATCATCTTACTTAATTGGGTAGGTTTCATCTTTCCTTCTGCGCTTCTCATAATCAGGAAGTGATTCCCAGCCGAATGAAAGACTCCAGTCAAAATTTCCACGATTATGGTTAAATCCATAGGGAGAAGGTTTATTGAATTCAAACGTGTTCATATCTATGGATGCAATATCTGGGCTCACAACAGCAGTGTGGTTCTCAGCTATTCTGGCCAACAAAGGTTCTAACCAACCATAGAAACACTCACCTAGAGAAACCATAATATTAATTCAATAAAAACACTGAAAACTTTTTCCTTTAGTTGTTTGGGCAAAGGTTTACAGAGAAATGAGAATAACAAAATCATTTATGTTTTGAATATTTATATAGGGGAGATTCTTTTTTCCAGCTTTATTGAGGTATAATAGACAAAAATTCTATATATTTATGGTATACAGCATAGTTTTATGTATACATTGTGAAATGATTATGACAACTAATTAACATATACATTATCTCATTATCTTTGTGTGTGCATGCGCGTGTGTGTGTGTGGGGGGGTGAGAATATCTGAGATCTACTCTTAGAAATTTTCAAATAGACACATCATTAACTATAGTCACCATGCTGTACAATAGGTCTCCAGAGGGGAGATTTCTTAAATGTTTTTTGTGATAAGGGTAGGATGAAAAAGGTAAAACAAAATTCAGCATAGTTAGGAAAATTTCCCTATAGATGATAATGATTTTTTCTCCTAGAAAAGCTGCAAAATAATGCTGGTGTATTTAAGGCTTAGATGATGTATTTCCCTTGAAAATGAGCTATGAATCAAAGATAACTTTTTACTGGTCCACATTACCTAGCCCTAAAAGTGTTTATTTAAACTTGTCTACCCCTCAGTAAGGTACAGTAATTGAAATCTTCATTTCTCTGACTGGGTCTTGGGAGAAAAGTCAAGGAGTCAGAACATTCTGATTTTAGCAGTTGGAGATGAAGGGCCATTCAAGGCTGCTCCAGACCTAATGAAAAGCGAGGGCCAAGAAGTCCCATGACAGGTCTGGGCCCTGGCTACAGGCCAGGCTGTCTCATCTAACACACTGTGGGTTCAGACGATGCGTGTGCAGACCTATTCTGGGCTCCCCACTAAGTGGAATTTGGCAGTCACGGTCCTGGAGGACCGTCAGACACATTCAGCTGGAGGGGAAGAATGCTCAGTCTGATCTTATTATAGTTTTGGACGAGGAGGAGGAATACTAGCGAATGGTATTTGCCTTTGTAAAACACCTCTCTTGGATTACCTTTAAACTTCTCTTCATTTTTTTAAAATGCCTGGGGTTAAGAGAGAACTAGATGTTAACAACTCAAGCAAGTCCAAAGGCCTTCTATGACAATTAGCATATGCTCAAAACCAGCTGTGTCAAACATAGCCTAAAGGCTGGCCAATTCAAAAGTAGACACTCACATAAAGAATAAAACCCTCCAAACTTACAGCTCAAGTGACATTTTAGTAATACCTAGCATGTACATTACATACTAACTCTGAAAGTACTTTCTAAATACTTTAAAAACATTGATACTGAAAAAAATTACAAAGAAAAATCCCACAGCAACAAAAGAAAACAAATAAAAATTGACAATGCTCATGGAAGTGCTATCAGAAGTTGAAGGGAAGCACCTCTAACTTGGCATATAAAGGAGTCTGCAAATTTGGGAGAATAAAAATTAAAAGTTTCCATACTAGGACAAAATTTAATGACAAGGTTGACTATACCTGTTAAAGAAATAAACTTTCACTCACTTTAAAGTGCAGAAATCAAGAATAACAAGGGAAAAAAAATTTTTTTTTTTACAAGATGAATATCTGGGAGAAAGAAAAAAAATCCCAGCAAGAATAACCCTATTGGGAAGCTGGTCACTAGAAAACATTACAGTTCAACAGACTTAAACACAAAGGAGAACTCTGTTTAAGTTGAAAGGAAGTTCCTATGCAAAGCTGTTACCTGCCTGGGCTGTCATTGTCATAATCATCAGTTGAAAATGCTGTTAAAGAAAATAAAGGGAAAACTTCCTTACCTTTTAAATTAGAGGGAGGGGGAAGGAAAATGATACAACTATATCTATACAGATATACTTACAGTGAGCATCTAAAAATGTGAGCGTTTCAGCTGTTGCTACTGTTGCTCCTAGCAACCGAGCAGTGATCAGACCTTTTCTTTCCTTTTGTCTGACTATTTTTACTATAGAGAATTGTTTTATATAGTCCTCTAGTTTATCATGTAAGTACTCTGTAAGGAAAAAAAACAGGATTAACTCTTTCTAAATGTATTTTCACATACAATAAATGAACGCTAATGAACCATAGAGCAATGTTCCTTCCAAATTCATAATCTTAACAGTTAGTTGTATGTGTGCTTCCAGTAAGATGAAAATTATTATTTTTATTTTCACTCTTTTACTTCTTTACTGGGATAAAAAGGCTAAATATGCAAGTTATAACTACTGTAACACATTACATTATGACACATACTTACCCTGTATATTTCATATCGATAAATATATCTGGGGGAAGTGAGAGATTTCAAATGGAGTGTACTCAAGTAGTTAAGAAGACTTATTTAGAGGTCTGAGAAAATTGATTGTGGGACTGAAAGAAACAGAATTTGGCCAAAAATGTATTCACCTTTTAAAAATTAGTATTTAAATCTGGAAATCTTAAAGGAAATGCTAAGTATCAAAAGGATTCTCTGATATTTAGGCAGTGATCAAAATAATTTAAGACAAAAATGTTAAGGAAAAAGCGTGTAGGAAAGTCCTGAGCTACACCAGTTTGGGAATATTTCTACAAAGAGTCAGCAGAAAATTTTCGAAAGCTTTGGAGTCTCCTGACCGAATTTTTTCCAGTAAAAATATGAAAGTAAAAAGGAGCCTGTAAATCAAGAATAAGGTTAAAAATAGGCATATATTAGTAATAGGTGTGTGATTTAAGATATTCAATATCCAGTTTGGATGACACACACAATAAGCAAAAGTTGAGATAGTTGGAAAAAATTTATTAATAAAATCAGTAAAGTATTGTTCATATTGTCAAACAACTTCTTAAGCCCGCTTTTTCACTATTAAATTCTTGATTCCTTGTTGAGTATATAATGTTCTTCAAGTGGCCTTCTTGGGCCCAGAGCACAGCACCAAAGATTTGGGAATATTGAAAAAGTCAGTGAATGTCTTGGGTAAATGTTTGCTTCTGCCAGAAGTTAGAAGCAAATTCAGATCACTTTGACTTTATGTGTGATGATATATATTTTTTCAGTTGCCCAGTGGTACAGATAAGAGAGTTGCTTATTTAGAGCTTAAACATTCATAAGGGAGGTGACAGTCCAGGAACTTCCTTTGTGGAAAAATAAATATCTAAACATTGTTGTCTCAGAGTAATGGATGAACATTTTTTTTTTTTTTTTTTTTTGAGACAGAGTCTCGCTTTCTTGCCTAGGTTAGAGTGAGTGCCGTGGCATCAGCCTAGCTCACAGCAACCTCAAACTCCTGGGCTCAAGTGATCCTCCTGCCTCAGCCTCCCAAGTAGCTGGGACTACAGGCACAAGCCACTATGCCCGGCTGATTTTTTTATATTATATATATTAGTTGGCCAATTAATTTCTTTCTATTTTTATGGTAGAGATGGGGTCTCGCTCAGGCTGGTTTTGAACTCCTGACCTTGAGCAATCCGCCCGCCTCGGCCTCCCAGAGTGCTAGGATTACAGGCGTGAGCCACCGCGCCCGGCCTGGATGAACTTTTTTAAACACTTTCTAAGTACCTCAGAAATAATTCTCTGAAAGACAAGCAGGATTGTAATTTGTCTTAAAAATACAATCATTAACATTTTATGCTTTAAGAGTCTTGTAAAATTTCAAAGTTCTTGATGGGGATTGATTTTTTTCAATGGAGTTACTACAGATTCCTTCAATAAACCTTCTCACTGTTTGAATTTGTTAAGAAATTTTTGATTTACCCCCAACTTCTGAACTTCTGTAAATTTTGATCTATCCCCTAAATTTTCCCCCCATCCCTCTTTAGGGAGGTTAAGAACACAAAGCCATGTGAAATCAGATATCCTAGGTTCAATGTATGTCACCATCAACCATCACTTTTAGCTGTGCAACCTTGGGCAAACTATTTTACCTTTTCTGTACCTCAGTTTCTTTGTAAGATGGGAATAATAGGATTTGCCATCACAGAAGATTATTGGGAGCATTAAATCAGAGATTACTGTACAAATAAAGCATTTAAGACAGGGCCTACCATATGGCCTATGCTCTTAAAATGTTGTCTTTTGTTATCACTGAGATTTAACTATCTCATTGTTACCTGGTTAACCACATGCTGCCTTTCCATAAGCAAATTGGAATCAGGGACTAGTTATTCCTTTACAGCAATGAAGGCCACATTTTTCACAGTGAGTACTCACTAGAAAGCTCTCTGATTAATTCAATAAGATAAATTACATGAGTATGCAAAGATAAGTTTAGCTAAAAAAAAATTCCAAATCTATTGTTGATTGCTATGAAGAATTATAAACATATCCAGATTCTTTAACCAACAGTATTACTTCTCCTAACTTATCTAAAGGTATAATTCAAAAGAAGGAAAATGACATAAACACAAAGATATTCACTGCAGTATAGTGTACAGTAACAGTACAGGGTGAAAAAAAGATGGATGCTTAAGTAAAATGCATCTTGTCACTGTCGTTAAAATGGTTTTAAGGTCAAAGAAACAGGCTAATAACAATGTTAGGTAAAAATGTCAGATTTTAAAGTGGGATTTCTGAAATGAATATAATTAGAAAACACTCTTTATTTAGACAATGAATACGAAAGAAATTTGAAGCATTAAAATGGTTGAAACAGGGAACATTATACAAGTGGTTATTACTTTTCATTCTGATTTCCTTTAATTTTATAATTTTGTTTGTCCAATTAAATAAAGATGGTGCCTTGAACTGCAGGTTTACTAGAAGCAAACTGACAATGCCCCTATTGTCTCACTACTTGGAAAATCAAACAAAATAAAAATCCTCTGAGATGATTTCAAAATAGAAATCAAGAGAAACCAAAGAAGAGGGAAAGATTTCTAAGCTAGAGTTGTTGGGTTTTTGTTTTTAAAGGTAAAAATATATGAGGTATGCAGAACTTAATCAGATATCATTTAAAACTCTATGTACTGCAGTCCAACTAGACAGAAAGACTAAGAAAAAATTCAGGACAGATCAAGTAATAAATAAACCAGTTGATTACAAATGAGTTGTGAAGTATCTGGGACTGAGATTCAATTTAGAGATCTGTAACGTGTTACTTGAATCCAGGGGACTTGAATTATAAAATTTCCTCATTTGGAAGATACGTTAAACATGTAGGTCAAAATCTCTGGTGATAACCATATTCTACCTAGATATTAATTTGAGCGAACATAAGCCTAATTCACTCAGGATATTTAATTTTAAAATATGCTGAAATAAAAATAAATAAAATATAAAAAATTTTTAAAAACAATGAAAATGTTTAGAATTATATGACTGCATTTCATCATTATGAAATAAATCAAGTTAATAATTTCATGTTTTATTCACTTATTATAATTTCTGGTATCTGGATACATGTTATAATTGATAGAACATCATCTAATAAGCTGTTTTTTTTTTCCCCTTAGGTAAAGTAATGATGTATCTTACAATAGATGGTGTTTTGGATTTAATGAAAAAGTATTATTGCCATTTAACAGATGAAGAAACAACTAATTAGCACTAGAGATGGGACTTGACCTTCAGGAATCTGACTCCAAACCTAAATTAATTCAGGAATAAATTTTATAATCATTGAAAAAATCTGTATCTATTCAGTGTTTAAAATACTTATGTTCGAAAATTTAACAAATTAGAGCATTTGTTAGATTAGCCTTGTGATTCCAATTTAAAATGTGTAATTTAGTACCTGACTTCTAATTTTAAGGAAGAAATGTAGTAAAGGATTTGGCTAACTTTGTAAATAATATTGGAATATTTAAAAGAACCAAAATATGGCCGGGCGCTGTGGCTCACGCCTGTAATCCTAGCTCTTGGGAGGCCGAGGCGGGCGGATTGCTCAAGGTCAGGAGTTCAAAACCAGCCTGAGCAAGAGCGAGACCCCGTCTCTACTATAAATAGAAAGAAATTAATTGGCCAACTGATATATATAGAAAAAATTAGCCGGGCATGGTGGCGCATGCCTGTAGTCCCAGCTACTCGGGAGGCTGAGGCAGAAGGATCACTCGAGCCCAGGAGTTTGAGGTTGCTGTGAGCTAGGCTGACGCCACGGCACTCACTCTAGCCTGGACAACAAAGCGAGACTCTGTCTCAAAAAAAAAAAAAAAAAAGAACCAAAATAAAACAACGTGGTGACTCTTAAGTGATTTTTAACTACTCATTATTTATTGATGTATTATTTATATTAACTCATTTAATCTTCAAAAAACCCCTAGAGTTATGTACTATTTCTGTATTTCATCTATTCTAAGCTACATAATTGGATACTTCTTATAATCAATGTCATGTTAAGTTTAATTGGCTATGGTTTTCTTCCTTCTTGTGGTTTAAAAGCTAATGACATATCTTACAATAAATTTGATGAAATACGTTATTATTCCCATTTTACCCATAAAGAAACCGAGGCAGAGAAGTGAAGTAACTTGTCCAAGTTACATAGCTGGTTAGGACAAGAGCTAGGATTCACATCAAGGCTCAAGTCTGTGCTCTTAACCACTATCCCTTACAATAAGTATCTCACACTGAGGACTATATAGTTAAAATAATAATGTATCATACATTTATGTACTCCAAAATATTTGAATATGTACATACTTGGCTTCTAATTTATCATACATGCATCCAAACTATTATATTCAAGCTCTGAGATGGCATACAGAGAGCAAAATATAACCAAATAGACTTTAGACACCACCACATGGATGTATTTGGGAAACAATCTAATTTGCATGTGCTTTCTTACCATCTACACTAGCATCATCCACCAAAATGATTTCCTTTAGCAGTATTGCAGGTGAAGAATAAAGCACACTGTGGACAGTTCTAAGCAGCGTGGACCACGCTTCATTATGAAAAACTATTATGACACTGGTGGTAGGCAGGGGTGGGCAGCGCTTAAATTTTTGTTCAATACATCTAGAAGAAGTGAAAGAAGTACAACAATTATAAATTACATTATTTGATGCCACAGCTATACCATTGCTAAAATTATTATTTAATCATTATCAACAAAAAATGATAGTTTCTTTCTATGTAAGATAATTTTAATGCTATATAAGTATAAATAGATTAAAACAAATTTTTTTACAAGCAGATCATTCACCAGAGATCATGTGTACTGATAGGGATTACAATGTGTCAAAGATTATGTTATTGTAAGCATTTTCAACAATATAATTTTAAATACAAATAGCATTTTTGATAATGAAAATAACCTCCACATGAGACTACATGTAAAAATGGCAAATCCTTGTCATTGCACAAAACCAAATTTTTCTTTTTTGTTGCAGAAATCATTTCTCTTACCTGAAACTTTAAAAATTGTGGAACATTGTTAAATACTTTCCTAAGTATGTAATTCATGTTTTCTAACATTTTCCAAGTTTATTTAATCAATTTACTTAATTTATATATGGAGCCAAAAGGGAAAAAATAAGTTTTACCCCAGAACCTACATTCATATGATGTTCACCATTCAGCAAATACTACCATTTGTCATGAGCTATATTAAAGATTTTCTTCCAAAAATCTGATCTACCTTTCAATATGACCTAGCATTTAAAATTTTCCTTTGAAAAGAACATATTAAGAAATTTAAATAAATACTTAAAACCATGTTAAAAGTCCTGTGCTTCTGTTATCATCTGAAACACTGGGCACAGAGAGAGAGAGAGAGACCCTAAGTATTCTTGGCTAATTAGTGATACTATCCATACCAGCTAAAAACATTAGTTATAAATTGATCTTGAATTTTTAAAAAAATAGTTCCATTCTGTAGCCCCAGCTAGAGTGCAGTGACATGACCATAGTGTACTGTAATCTCAAACTGCTGTGCTCAAGTGATTCTCCTGCCTCAGCCTCCCAATTGACAAGCTTACAGGCACACACTACCATGCCCTGCTAAGTTTTCTATCTTTTTGTAGAAATGAGGTCTTGCTCTTGCTCAGGCTGGTCTCAAACTCCTGGTCTCAAGCCATCCTCCCACCTTGGCCTCCCAAAGTGCTAGAATTACAGGCATTAGCCACCTTGCCTGGCTTTGAATTCATTTTTATAATAATGCCTTCTTCAATGAAAATAATCTTCATACTAAGCTGCTGGAATGTGAGTGAATCTGTAAAATCTCCAGTTTTTGAGACTGGAGATATTGAGAGGACCACAGTTCCCAGCCTGCTGAGCTGAGGGTCAAATGAAATAACATGTAAGAGAGGACTTCAAATATTGTTTTTCTGGGACATTAAAATAAACCACTTGTCATTTATGGAAAAGATAAATAAAGCAACTATATCTTTAAGGTCACTTAAAAATCATAAATGGCTGTCCAATTTTGGACAACAGACTACAAAATCCTCCCACGCCATCAAAAGGCATTATAAATACAGTGTGTGAACAATCAAACAGTGCTGTTCAAACCCAAAGATAAGGAAGTAAATAATTCACTTCTGGAGATAAGAGCCCAATACACTTTAGTTTCTCTCCCAGGGCCAATGGGGAGATTGTAGCCCCCAGCGTGATACTAGAAGCCTGGGAAAGCAACCCTAAAAAAAATCCACAAATTTTCTCATTAACTGCTTTCATCACCATACCTCAACAGGAATGTCTTTGAGACACTATCTAAGAGCAAGTCTTCAGGGTGGAAAATTTGCTGTGATATAAAAGGAAGTAGATTGGGGGTAAAAAAGAGAGGGTTGTTTTAAGTGAAAGTGATTTTGTTCTCTAGTGCCTTCATGATTTCAAAAGTGCAATAACAAATGCATAATCACATGTGGATTACTCTTCCTCACTGGTAGTTGAAAGAAAATTATTTAATTTAAATTGAATTTTGAATAAACTACTAATTAAAAATCAATCTCAAACACAAACTATTCATATAGACACTGTAACCATAAGTAAAGGACTAAATAAAAGCTTGTATTTTTAACACATAAATGTTTATATGTCAACATAAACTATAAGTAAAAATTATTAAAAAAAATTAAAAGTTCCATAATATAGTGTTTATGTTTAAGAGGGAAAAAAAAGAAGAACCACTTCATGATTTGCTGTCTTACAAGCATTTTTGGGCGAAAGTGAAATTTTGGGATTAAAATATCTTTTTCCTACCTTTATTTGCTGTGCGGTTAATTAATATAATATTAATCAAGAATTATAAAAAGGTTTTGAAGATTTAAAGTATAAAAACTGGACAAAAAAATCATATTAATAAAATGTTATCACTTTAGTCTTACAAGGCTTTCCCTCAGTTTAAACCAGGATTTATTTGCTTAACTGATAACTACTAATACCAAGTAAAAATACCATGTTATATTATTAAAGCAAGTGATGAAATTTCACAGCATGATTTCATAAACTTCATTCATTTTGAAACACTTAACATGTTAAATTTATGCTTTGAAAATTGTTTCACACATCATTTAAGGTGGTGCAATTAAAATAACTTGCCAAAGTGACTATGTATTTCCAATCAAATCATTTGAAAAATTTGGCATATAGAAACATGCTTAAATTATCAGTAACATGACTATCTGGCTTTGAGGGAAACTAGATCTATATTCCTACTGTGCATGGAGAAGACTGGAAATTCTTCAGAAAAAGTGTTTCTTGCTGATACAGGTTACATTCAAAGTTAAAAACAATTAAATATTCACCACCTCTACAAAACCCTATCCAAAGTAAGAAATAATTAAATCTTCGACCCTAACCAAAAAATGTTCTTAATGTGCTTAAATATTTTTCATTTAGCAATTAACACTAATGAAAATTACTGTAGCTTCTTAATGCTATATTGAAAAAAAGGTTCATCTTAAGCTGACATTATCATGTCAAAAAAATAAAAATCATGCTTATTGATTTTTGACATCGATTGCTTTTCAGTGAAGACCTCTCCCCAAATCAGTAAAGTACATTACTGCATTCTAACAGAATATTTCACAGAAATTCGTTTCTTTACACATTCACTTAAAAGTGATGAGCAATTTAAATTTGGGTCATACAGATTAAAATAGCGTGACAGAAATCTAACCTACACACTTTCAACATTAAGGGACTCATATAGTTGGATGAGATATTCAAAATCCATAAATTTCGAAAACCTGAGTGAAACAATAGACCAAACTCTACAAAAGTTCCTTTCTTCAGGTTCACTACCAAGTATAATTCTGTAATAACCAGAAAGCAAAATACATAAACATTTTTTGCTTACAGTTTGCCTGTCTTACCTCTCAAAAACCTACTGATGGCTTGAAAATGCTGGAATTCATTTTAGCCATATCAGTTCAAATGCACCATTTGAACTTTACTTCACAGATTTAAAAAAAAAAAATAGTGGTTAACTAAGGACAAAGAGACAGGATAGTAGAACCTGAGAGGGAAATATTAATCAAAAATGTATACTTCAAACATGTAATAAAGTGACTCAATAAAAAGGAATGTTGAGGCCGGGCGCGGTGGCTCACGCCTGTAATCCTAGCTCTCTGGGAGGCCGAGGCGGGCGGATTGCTCAACGTCAGGAGTTCAAAACCAGCCTGAGCAAGAGCGAGACCTCGTCTCTACTATAAATAGAAAGAAACTAATTGGCCAACTGATATATATATAAAAAATTAGCCGGGCATGGTGGCGCATGCCTGTAGTCCCAGCTACTCGGGAGGCTGAGACAGAAGGATCGCTCGAGCCCAGGAGTTTGAGGTTGCTGTGAGCTAGGCTGACGCCACGGCACTCACTCTAGCCTGGACAACAAAGCGAGACTCTGTCAAAAAAAAAAAAAAAA